AACAGACGGCGTAATAAGAATTGTTGATGAAGCACAAAATAAATGCGACTGGAGTTGGAAATCAGGCAACGCCGCCGCCGTTTTGAAGCTTAGCCTCCATCCAAATAGCCTGCATTTTCTCTTCTACCATCCAGGACCCATAGACTCAGTGACATACATCTCTTTCCCTGCTGACACATGTATTGTTCTGGTCTCCATCCATCACTACATCTGTCTTTTCAAATATTTTGATTACCAGGGCTGGAGTCTATGATTCAATTTATAACAGTCGAATGTTGAATGATGCAAACCACTGACAGCTTGAACCTACGACAACACTGATGTCTGACATTTAACAGAGGAGGAAAGTACATGCACTGTACATTTAGGCACGCACAGTTCTCCTGTGTGAAACACCGCAAACATTTTTACATTTAACCCTCAGATGCAAAGATACATTCTTGACACAGTTGCCATATCCGTCAAAATCAGTCAAATTTCCCATATGTGTCTGTGTACTGGGGCAAATCAAGTGGAAGGAATTTTCAACTGTTTTTGACGGTTTCAGCAGAAGGAATTAATGAGCTTTATTGAACTATCCATACACGTATGCCATGAGCATGTAGGGTCTTTTTGCTTGCTAAGTCATAAACAGCTTTTACTGCATGCAAAGTACACCTGCTGGATAGCAGGAACGATATCCAATGACAGGCTGTCGGAGAGTGCATTTTAGCAGGCTGACAAGTTCAGATTGATTATTGATACACTGCAGACAGAAATCCTGTCACATTAGCTCAAGACAACTTTCTTGTGACGTATCTAAATATCACTTCTCAAGAACTTTCTTTAAGTTTTGTCCTAATTAAGCAGATGAACCAAAACACTACTGACAACAGCAACAATAAAGGATAAACCTCCTGTCCTAAGTTCCATTTTGTTGAAATTTAAGAATATTATCTATCAGCTAAAAAAATAAAATTCCCAACTTTTCAGGGGAAGCTTGCACGGTTTGCACAATGCAAAGCTAATTCCAGAAATGCATTCCTTGCCAGTGATCACAGGCAAGCTCAATGCCAACCTATGCTGTCAGCTATGATAAGCATATCACCGCTCAAATCCTTCCCCAACCCCTACAACTTCATCCAAAGCTTGGCATTAAATGCAGCTAGAAACTTCACAGTGGGGCTGATAAATCCGGTCAGGCTTGCACAAAAAGAGCAAATTCCCCTGTGGTTGTCCCGTTCTTTGTGTGGTAAGCAGGTCGAGCAAGCCTTGGCTCACCAGAGAACGACAAGCAAATGGGGGGGCCTATGATGCATTAGCACAGAGCCCGACTGTGACAGTAACTCCTGGCGCTTGAGCCTCTGTTGTACCAATGAGCTGTGACAGGCTAATGAGGCTGGCCTACTTACGGCCAAATGGAGATCTTAATGGAGCAAACACATAGTGGCACAGTGTTACATGGTCTTGGCCGGCCAAGACTCACCCCTGGTGTGTAAAGTACACACGTGGGTAGTGGTGACAAACTGTAGCAGGAAGGAGGAAGTGGTTTCACTGAGGAAGAGAGGAGGGTAACGTATATACGGCATGGAGAGGTACAACGTTTGAATACATGTACATGTAGGTTCACAAAACAAAGGGTCCTCTTCAGACAGACAAAACATACACAGTTAATGGTCAGAAACGAACAGAAAAGATCAAAGTGTCAAGTTGGCTGTTTTCTGGGGTTCAGTTCTTTATGGAGAAAAGCAAGCATTAAATAATTCACAACAATACCACCCTCTCAACATATTTTCCCAGACTATGTACATACACAAGTAGCCGTATACAAGAAATGACATGATGAGAATAATTTAATGAATGGACAAAGAGGTTCTATTCCATGAAGCGAAGCCAAGTGGAACAGATTCAAAGAAACTTCCATCTGTCACCGAATGAAAGTACCCGTATTTTAACAATGTCAGATTAAATCCTCTTTTTATGCAAGTCACCATTTTACTTTCTCTATCTGGTATAAAAGCGCTAAACAAAGTCGCAACATTTTGGATTATTTCAATATTCAACACCCCCCAATAAGCCTACCATGTGCACGTATATAGTACAATACTCCTTGAGCGATGAAGAGCTGTGATCATTTTTACAAGGTCCCATATGCATGCGGTACGACTTTCTGTAAAATACAGAAAAACAGTGAAATCAAAACACGCAAGGTTCAGCAGTACAAATAATTCAACGGCACATAACTGGTGACCCAAAATCACACCATGGGCATTCATTCAGGTTTTGTACGCTGTACACCTACATTGTACTTAGTGTCGCCCGTATCAAAAAACTTCCAGAGATCATTAAGCGTCGTTTCAGAAGAAGATGAACAAAACATCATACTGAGGATGTGTTCTCAGGCATCTTCACTTGTTCAGGAAGCATATTGCCAAAGAGATGTATGACCATGTGATTTGCTCAAGCAGCCGAGTGATCCATGCCAACCAGTTGAGTGGATGCACTGTAGTAATCAGCCAACTATGGACAATAACTTTCCCTGGGCAATCTAGTAGACATCACATGATTCATCATCCCCGTTTCTTCCCATACAGCCAATATGGACTTCCTAGACAACTGGTTCTTGGAAGGCAGCCCTGCTGACACAATGAGGTTAATACATTATATGCTCGTTTCTTCTTTACTGTTTACATCCGTGTATTTCATTCTTGTCCTGTGAACAGGCCAGACATGAATGAAACAATGGAGGGGTTCAATATTTTTTTTTCCCCCTGAGACACCAACAATTTTATCAAGATAGTACTTTGTAAAGACACCATGGAAATTTGGGAGAAGAATTTCCGTAAAATATCAAACTGTTTGGGTATACTTAAAGAATTCTGAGGAATGTAGTTACCAATTCCCATTAGTATCGGGGAAGCCACACTTGATTGTGTTCCCGGAATCTATCTCATTCAGTGCAATCTGTTCAATGGCTGGTGCCAGACTATTTTGGGTTCCAAGACTCACTTTTTTTCTGAATATGGCTTAAAACATGCAGACATAATTAATCAAAAAATTTTAAATATTTCACCAGAGTGAACGGGCACTGATTTGTTATGAGATTTGACTTCACTGCTTTCCCTTACTCTCAGGTTCCCACAAAACCTGAAAAACTAATCTCTCTTCCGATTTAATATGGCTGACTAGCGAATAAAGTCTATTGCAATGTCTATGAAACATTTAGACAAATTTTTAGCAGGATGAAGTCCCTTCAACCAATGAACTCTGACCCAGATATGTCATAATCAAGTCAGACTGCTTCCATTTTAATCATTTTAAATGACAAACACTCTTGAGAAATTTATTTAACCAATGACACTCCAGCCACAAAGGGCAATCCATTGTCAGTTATGTAATATGCTGAAGAATTTCTGTTAATATTCTGTAGTTGGTGTGATATACTGTATGGTAAATCAAATGTCTTCATTTCATGGTCAGCATTTAGTAAATATTAATGACAAGATCACGAAATGAATGGCTACATGGCAAATTACATATACCCCAACATTCTTCATGATTTTTGTCAACTTTAAAACACAGCACAAGCTTTTTGTTATATTGTGTTTTGTTTGTCATGCAAAATTTTCATCAGCATGTTTTTAATTTTTAAGTATTCAAAATTATAACTGTAGAAATGTATCTGCTTCAGTGTATATGTAGGCAAGACATTGTATGCTGTACATGTACGAGTACAAGGATACTACTTGTAAGGAAACTGAGAACCTTTGGACTGCATTCAACGTCTAGGATGACTGACCACACAGGAAGCTAAGAAAGCTAGAGAATGCAATGTAAACAAAGAAATGTACAGGTGCGCACTGCACCTTTTGCAGTCTGGATGAAACCATCAGGATTAACAATGGCTACAGTGACATGTACCACGTGACAAAAATCATACTTGTAAGTATCAAGTTTGGCTGCCTCACAAGGCGACACGCTCCAAGTCTTGCTAAAAAGAAATCGCCATGTCTCCTGCTTTCAGAAACAGGATCAAACTACAGACTGTGGTTGAGATATTGAAAAAAAAAACGGGTTTGCACATTTAATGCAACCTCCTGGATTTCTTGACACTGTCCTCAGCAATCATCTAACAAAACCTGCAGGAAAACATTAACTAGGCGAACAAAACTGTATGTGTGTGACAGAATACAGCAGGCAACACCTGAGGGAGGTGATTGGATTGTGAGGTCATACTTCATCTGAAAACATCCGGCCTATATGGAGGCGTAGAATTTCATCAAATTTCCATGGTAAGGGAATGTGTGAACTTCATCACATACCTGCAGTAATATATTGCCCATATTTTCCCTTATCGTATCAGATTTCCCCCCCCCCAACTCACACCCTCCCCGCCTCCTCGGAATTTCAGCAAATATTGTTACGGCCCCCTCCCCAACGTCTCCAGTTTCTGGTCAGGAGCTGCTTCTAAAAGTGGTATGGCGACGTAGCTCTTCCCCCCCCCCCACTTGTTTTTCTAGAGATGATGTACGTGCAATGCGCGATGTCCATCACGACTGCATGGGCACATAACGTTGGCCGCTATCAACACTAAAAGAGACTGGCCCCCACACTTTTGACTGTTTGAAGGCATTTTCAGCTTGTACATGAATACAAGACGTAAGACCACGTAGTTTGTCTGGTTCCCAGATGTAAACGTATAATACAGAAATGATGTCATCTGAAAAAGAGTGCCCGACTAAATGTATGGGGAACTAGAGGGACCCCTTCACTGTACATATTACTCAAGTGTACCCCATCAAAACACATTAAACTTAGGCAGTAGCAGGATTCTTGTCAATTAAGCAAGTTTGGCAGCTTTTGTACATCATTTTATACCAAATAAAAAATTTTTTCTGCTAATGCGTCGTTCTAGGGCGACACGCGTGCTGACCAGAAACCGGAGACTTTTTTGTGGTCAAATGGAACAATTTTTCCATTGTCATGATTTCTCAGTTAATGTTCGCTACAAACTGACTTACCATGCTGGTGTCTCTGTCTATACTTGGAGTTCTAACTCTGTCTCTAAAGGAGCTCTGCGCTGCTGCAACTTTTCTGCTTATTGAATGACACGATTTACTGTGGCCTAATGTGATTGCTTGGCACATTTGATCTGAAAGTTAACCACAGGAAAGAGAGACATAATGAAAACTCCCAATCTTTGTATTATTGTTAATCTGCTATTACAAGCATGAAGACATTTGAAGGATTTAATTTTCAAGAACTTCTCGTGCATTTCAATCGATTCAAAGCTTCTTGATTCCAAGAAATCATTATGAAACAACAATTTAAGAAGTACTCGTTCACAGTCACTGGAAGGGTCAAACCTGTCACAGGAAAGAATGTACATGTACATGTATTTGCAAGACTTAGCATTGCATTTAAAAGCAAACAGAGCGTCAGTTTTCAGCCTAGCAAGTACTATCTCGAACTGATAATGCACTTTCATTAGTATTAAAAATAATGGTGAAACATATCAAGACCATAATATAAATGGCGTGCTTAAACATCTGGTCTACACAAGTCCCCCTTCTTTTGTCTTATTTTTGTTAAAAATCCTCCATAACGTGTATCGGCTTCACCGGTGGCCCACCATCTTATCTCCATAAGTATCACACCAGAGGTCTGAATCTAACCACCTGTCAAAATAATGGCCTTCCCATGAATGAAGACAAATGTACAGAACTCTACATCACACACTTTAGGATGCAACTAATGTCTTTCCCACAAACGTTACAGTAATATAACCGCTGTTATGTTTTTGACATGTATTACATTTGGTGACACTATTTCACATCAGTACATTCTGTTGTAACTTGATCCAAGGTGATGTAAACAAATAAAGTTGGTTTTAAATAAATGCCAGCCAGGAAGTTAAAGTTTCGCAACATCAGTTGACATCTCTGAAACTTCCTCGCTGATCAGGAAAGCCTGTACTCTCTATCGGGGTTATTAGGTTTAAAGGTCTCAGTGGGATCATACACATAGCTGGTCCTCTTCATCCAAACAGTAGGATAACCTGGCTCAATTTGGACTTGGCCTGGTGCCACAACTGATACCAAACAACCCCATGGCCATAACCCCTGAAGTGGTCTCAACCACTCCAGCATCAGCATCAACTGCTTTGGTCAAACGCCCACATCATCGGTTGCTCTAAAATACAGTGACTGACAGAATGGTATTCATTCAATGGCAATTACACCAGATGGGATGGATTTCTGTTATCAATGTACATCTATCTGTTAAGGTCATGATGAAAACAGTCCGGAAAGCGGCTCTGAAAACATATCCTACCACTGATGGTGACGAGTTCCATGTACATTTGTCTTTTACACATTATTCCTTACAGGACAACACATGTTTACAGGTGAACTTTCAACCTCGATTCTGAGAATTCATGTAATCATTCTGATTTATCACATGTGCATATTCATGAAGTTATAGCATATTTGGCACTGTACATATCTTGACAACTTTGAGCAGAGTAGTAAAATAAACAGCACCTGAAGAAATCTTTGGCATCTGATTGGTGGGTTATTGATCATGTGACACTGACTTTTATTATTATTATTAGTTTATTCAGAAATCAATCAACTTAATAACAATTGTACATGTACAAAGAGAAAAACAAGAAACGGTTGATATATTCTGGGATAACTCAAGAAAGCCAATTACATGGGTTTATTTCCATTGGGGTCCCTTAAGTTTGGACAAATTTACACATATACAGAACAAACAAAACATGAAAGACTAGTAAATTACCAATCCATTTAACCATTACTAATTACAATCACATTCAAATTTCCATGCCTTTAAAAAATCAAAAAGATAAAATTCGTAAAAAACATTTCTTGGTGTCACTCATCCCCTTTCCTCTTGTTAAGAATCAGTCTTATTAATTAAAAACACTGTATTTCTGTATTTCTCAATCAGTTGGCTTTTTGTGATGGATTATGACTTTTTTTATTTTTTAAATACGGGAAGACTGGAGATGCTTATGATATTAGACGGTGGTGCATTCCAGTCTCTAATAGCTGAAACAGAAAATGTATTTCTACAGGAGTGAATTGGAACAATGAAATTAAGAAGACCTTGCCTTGTATTATATGAGTATCTATCAGAAACACGGGTGAAATTATCACACATACACCGGTATATTTGGGGACTACATGTAAGTTATAAACCACTTTAAATACATGATTGAAATTCAATAAGCCTTTGACCCAAATCTGGTAGTTCTTAAAATTCACGTGAACATAACAACTTGAATTCTCCTTACTAAAACCACTGTTGCTATACCTCATGATTCGGGGCAAGCTTTTGCTTAGTTACATAAGAGATGCCTTGCAACAATACACTGTTCTCAATGGATAAGAACGGCACAAAGGAACCAGTCCATTCCAGAGATGGTGGTCGCTATGCGAAAGCTTGCCCTGAATCATGAGGTATAGCAACAGCGTCTTTAGTCTGGGGGAATTCAAATTGTTATGTTTATGTGCAGTCAGATAACTCAGTGCACCAGATTTTATTCAAATTTAACTCGCAAATAGCTTATTGAGTCATCCTATCCTGAACATTATGTAACCCCGCCGATTCGGTGCCATTGTTCAATATAGCCATTGTTGAATAAGCCATTGGACTGCATGTACACTATATAGTACATGCATACATCATGTCTGTGTCCCAGTTATGGCTCTTCACGCAGGTAAAGAGTGCTGTGGCGCACCTGTACACGAAGAAGGCACAATTGTGGCACTTACTTCAGAAAAACAGACAAGACTTCTGTTGCAACTCAGAACATGAAATTCGAAACTCAGAAGTAAAAGTGAAACTTGTACCCAGAGGCTTTGTTCAGGTGCTATTTAACACAAATCACTGGAGTGATGAATGTTTCACATTTTATGCAGTGGAAAGAATAATTTCAATCAGTAACTGACAGGATGGTCAATTCCACTTGAACAACATTCAGTCTGTCACCTCATGAAATTATTCTCGCCACTGAACTCGTAAACTTACATTATTTGCTCCTAGGATGGTCACAGAGGCATTTTGTTTTCCCAAAGCAAAGTAGGGGGAAAACAGAATTAAAAGAAAAAATCAAAAAAAAAAAAAAAAGGAGAGCAGATATTGTGTTCATGTAATAAACATTCTTAATTTAAGGAGGCAGTTTTAATTGACACGATATCTGCAATGTCACGAGGATGAAACAGAACGTAATATTTTTCATCAATTTGAAACGACAAACTTTCAAAGAGAACACTGGTGATGACAAATTCACCTGTAGTGGCACAAATGTGTTCCAAGGTGCAAGAGATCAGGGATTTATAATTACTGGCATCACCCTTTACTTTTTAAAAATAAAATATGCATTAGGTCTGGTCTTTTTAAAAACCCAGAGAAATCTTTGACATTAATCATTGTCCTTTTATTTGTGCATACACACTCTGCTTCTATGTTAAGGCCATTTCAAGACCTTACGGATTTGATAGCATTAACTGAAACAAACTTCATATTCATGAGTGATGTCATCTGACAGATGTTCCAGTCTCACGGCAGCTTGAACAGAAAAAAACAACACAGCTCTGTTCAGTGCTACGGCCAATTCTGTGGTTTTTATCTGAAATGAAATTTGGGGAGGGGTGGGTTATACATATACATGTAGGCCTACAGTATAAAATGTACAATGTTCCACTTTTTCAATCTAATTCCAGCAGTCCTAACTCCTTCAATCTCAATGTAATTTTACACAAATCCTACAGGTATAAGGGTTAATACACAAAAACCACTTCATCAACCTTAACCCTAACAGTCCCAAATCCTCCAATTTCATTGATTTTACATACACCCGAGGGGGGTATGGGTTAATGAGCTGGCTTGTATTTTGAATTCCTAAAGTGAATCCTAAACTAGAATTTAAAATTCCATAACTGTTAAATGAGTGACTGAACTGAAATCACATCCAACAGCACAAGAAGAAATTTAAAACTGCACACATTTAACCAAATAAGGGCGATTATTTTACTTTTACTGTGTTATAGGCTGGATTTTTTTTCACTGTTACACAGTGAAAGGATATTTACATGCACATCTTTCTTTCACAATGAAATTCCTTTCCCCTTCACATTGAATGACCGACCGCCATTCAACATGGCTGACAGATTCAACAAACATGGAAGGATGCCAGACAATTTGCCAGATTGAAATCATCCAAAGTTGCTTCACCCAAAAAGTAACAGTATTCACATGAGGACACACTGCTGGTAGCGGTAGGGCCAGGTTTGGCTGGACTAGGACACAACACATCTGGCATTCATTCACCTTTCGGCTTTCTCAACAACAAAGTGCTGATGAAACATTTTAGAAGACAAGAAAAAAGGTACAACTACTCCCCTTTCCCTGTCAGTGGTTTCTTTGACAACGCTTTCTTCATCTATAAATCACTCGTTCCTGAGGGAACAGTGCTTTGGTAATCATTTCAACCCACTCATTGGTAGAATTACTGCCAGATCAAATGCCATTTCAGAGTTTTTACAGGGCAGATGAATGATCTCTACTTTCTTCCGGGTCTTGAGCAAAACCTTCAAAGTGCTTTTTGATGGGGACTACTTGGTAGCACATGATTTTTCCACCAATTTCTTTCAGTGATTACTGTTAGTTCAACTCATACCAAGCATCACTAATGCACTAATTAAGACAGTTACTGCTTGAACACTGTAAAATCATCATGCATGTATAAATACAACTGTACAGTCAAACCTGCCGTTGCGGCCACCTGACTACAGGGGCTGCCTGGCTAAACTGGCCATCTTTGCTTAGTCCCAGGTTGATTCTCACATAAACACACTGTCACCTAGTCTTGCCATTGCGGATACTGCGTAACGCGGCCTGTGGCCAACCCAGATCAGTTCATCTGTGTACAATTACACTGCCCTGTGTACTCTGGCCTCAAAAATGTATGTAGATTTCTCTTTGCCATTTTTGCATCTTGAGAGCAAAAGAAATTAAAAGAAAATAAAGATGTAAAATATAGGCTACATGTAACCATAAAGTCTTTGTTGCAGATTGATACATTTAGTTAATCAGGAGGGTTAGAGGGTATGTCTTTGGGAAGAT